GGGCATAATTATCAAGCACTGGTCAAGAAGAATTTTGATAGCAGAAATAGAGAGAAATTAATGAGTTTATTGTCAGGCGCTAAGTGGTAGAGCAGATCTCTGAAAATGCAGCTGTTATCTTTATCTTTAATCTCTTGGGAGCTGGGCAAAAAGAAATGGCCTCATAGTTGCTTGTGTTAATTAAGAGTTCTTGATGGCTATAGTCCAGATAAAGATCTTTCAATTGGTGTAATGTAATTAAAACAAATTGATATTTAATGTATGATTAAAACTAAATTAGTATTGTATTATATAATGAAAACTAATTATACATGTGTTCATTGAAATAAATATTTTAAACATGATAAGAAATGGAAATTAGATCATTGAAATCTGTGTCAATCTGTTAATCAAGGTTATCTGATTTTCTTGCACCTTAACCAATTTATGATTATTGAACAATATATTTGACGGGCGTATCATGCTGTGGCGGGGCACTTTATTAATTTCTATGAACGGTGTTGCCATGGTGACTAAAAATAGAATTTTCTGTGAAATTCCTTAAAAACGCTACTCCTTCTACAGTTTTGGTCTGATTTCAATATAACTTGGCACACAAGTAGACTACACTAAGATACAAAGAATAGTGCATCGGTTTTTGGTTTCGATGAATGGTGTTGCCATGGTTACTAAAAATAGAATTTTCTGTGAAACTCCTGAAAAATGCTACTCTTTCTACACTTTTGGTCTGATTTCAATATAACATGGCACACAAGTAGACTACACTAAGATACATAGAATAGTGCATCGGTTTTTGATTTCAATGAACGGTGTTGCCATGGTTACTAAAATAGAATTTTCTGTGAAATTCCTTTAAAACGCTACTCCTTCTACAGTTTTGGTCTGATAACAATATAACTTGGCACACAAGTAGACTACACTAAGATACGTAGAATAGTGCATCGGTTTTTGATTTTGATGAACGGTGTTGCCATGGTTACTAAAAATAGAATTTTCTGTGAAATTCCTTTAAAACGCTACTCATTCTACAGTTTTGGTCTGATTTCAATTTAACTTGGCACACAGGTAGACTATACTAAGATACATAGAATAGTGCATCGGTTTTTGATTTCGATGAACTGTGTTACCATGGTTACTAAAAATGGAATTTTCTGTGAAATTCTTTTAAAACACTACTCCTTCTACAGTTTTAGTTTGATTTCAAAAGTAGTTGGCACACATGTAGACTACACAAAGATACATAAAATAGTGCAATGGTTTTTGATAAGTACAAACCAGTAGAGCTACAGTCTCGACAGAGACTTCTGGTTCACTTGAAAATCACATATTTTGACCAATATTTCAAAATTAACCTCACTGACCCCAATTTTTTCTTTCATTATTTTAAAGTACTCAATACGTGTGACTGATTAGCACTCAAGTCGTAAAAAGCCTGATTTAAGAAAATGTTTTATTGCCTATTTAGTTTTTTAATACCCCAAATATGTTACTTTTTAGTGCAAAAAGGTCATACAATAATTTACTAATGTTACTTTTTAGTGCAAAAAGGTCACACAATAATTTACGCGCATTTCATGTAATTTGCAATATTTGTTCATTCAGTTATAAATATTATTCAACATATTTTACGCTAAATAAAATCATATATATTGCCATGGTTACATCTGATAAAATATGATAAAGGCTAAAGTAATTAACCAAAGAGTTGAAATTTAAGTGCAAAAAGGTCAACTTCATTGTAACCTAGATCAACAAGATGATCACTGACCCCCTGTTTTGTCTGCGATTTTGAATACTCTATATGAGTACTTATCCAAAATATACTTCTCAAAAAATCCTTGATTTAACAAACTTCACGACTGACATACCTTAAATTCCTTCAAATTTTTTTGGAAAAATTTTGGTACATTTGTGAAGTAAGATACATGATCCTTTTTTTTTCAAAGTAATTATTTTTTTTAACTTTAAAAATTGTTGGTTAATTATTTCAACGTTTTGTGTTGCAGTGGTTAAGTTTAAATATTGTAAAACCAATCATTGAATAACACGCATTCATGTTTTCGGTCACATTTTGCCTTTGTGCAGCTTCCTCCATGGTTAATTTTTCAGATGTGGAAAACCCTGATATAGTATGTCAACTGAAAACTAAATCACTCTGTCAGACCTATGTTGTACTTTTAAAAGTTTATGGCTTTATTTAAATAATTTAATTTTGTATGTATTCTAACAACATCCCATTGATTGAACCCCCCCCCCTTTGACAACCAGCTGAATCATCTGTATCCATCAATCCCCTCATTTCCAATCCTTGGGATTCATGGAAAATTCTAGATTTAATAAATGTACCTTTAACTTCAAACAGTAGCTTGTTCTTACCTCATGTAAACAAACCATCATGGCTACTAGGTCTGTGTATCAGTTATTACCTCCCCCTAATTTCCCATCACATCTATTACTAGGTTTTGTATTACTGTAGATCACTAAATTTTCGCGACACCTTATTTCCGCGAGATTGACATTGACTCTTGATTAGCGAGACAAAATTTTCACGAATTCTGGTTAATGCTATATATAATCTTAAGGAATACTATTATACGTGAGAATTTTATTTTTGCGAGGACACTGTCTCTCGTAATTACGCGAAATTAAAGTTCTCGTGAATAAAAAGTGATTCACAGTATTAAGTGGCAAATTTGAACTTATAAAGAGCAACACAATTTTACATCCACAGTTGTTTAATTATTTTAAAATTAAATTATAAGGAATTACTCTAATTTTTGGCAGAATTATCAAGTATAACCAGATTTGGGTCATTTACGCTTTTTAGGTCAGATGATGAAAACAGATAGCAATAGGTCACCTGAGTAAATTCAGATGACCTATTGCTATCTGTTTTCATCCGTCATTGAGCGACGTTCATCGTATGTTAACATTTTAACATTTTCAGTTTCTTGTCTGCAACCGCTCAACCTAGTGAATTTCAACCAGTTTTGTCATAAAGCATTTATGGGTGATGGGGAACAAATATTGTGGATTTCATGATTCCTGCCCCCATGGGGCCTGGGGATGGGGCCAAACCACTAAGATTAATGCAATCATTAAAAATCTTCTTTACTCTTGGACATCAAGCAGTCAAACTGTTGGGATGATTGTAATCAGCATTGAGTCCTCTACCAAAATTGTGAAATTCATGGCCCCAGGTTCAGGGGTTCTAATGCAAGGGCGGGCTATACAGATTATATAGAAAAAAATGCATTATTTCTTTGAAAATCTTCTTCTCTGCTTCTGGGTATTACATGTAAATAAACTAACCAAGTACATGTACATAGTTATGAGAATGCCTTTTCTAAAATTGTGAATTTCATAGCACCAAGATCAGTGGTTCTGGTGTTAGGGCGGGGCTCTTTTGATTATATAGTGAAAATGCATTAATTCTTTAAAAATCTTTTTCTCTGCTCCTGCATGGGTATTAAATGAACTAACCAAGTACATAGTTATGATGAACTAGAATGTATCTACCAAAATTGTGAATTTCAGGGCCCCTGGATTGGGGGTCCGGTGTTAGGATGGGGCTCTGTTGATTATATAGTGAAAATGCTTTAATTCTTTAAAATTCTCTGCTCTGCTTCTTGTTATTAAGTAAACTAGGTTCATAATTATGATAAGCAAGAGTTCCTCTTCCAAAATTGTGAATTTTATGACCCAAGGGTCAGGGGTTCTGGTGTTAGGGCCAGGCTCTATTTGATTTTATTATAGTGAAAATGCATAAATTCTTTGAAAATCTTCTTCTCTGCTCCTGGGTGTTAAATAAACTAAACTAAGTACATACATTTAGTTATAATAAGCAAGAGTGCCCTTTCCAAAATTTCATGGCCCCAGGGTCAGGGGTTCTGGTGTTATGACAAGGCTCTATTGATTATATGGTGAAAATGCATAAATTCTTTGATAATCTTCTTATTAAAATAAACTAACCAAGTACATAGTTATGATGAGCAAGAGTGCCTCTTCCAAAATTGTGAGTTTTATAGCCCCAGAGTCAGGAGTTCCTGTGTTAGGGCAAGGCTCTATAGATTATATATTGAAAATACATTATATCTTAAAAATCTTCTTTTCTGCTCCTGGGTATTAAGCAGATTAACTACCTATATAGCTATGATGAGCAATAGCTCTTCTTCCAGTATTGAGAATTTCAAGGCCCCTGGGTCAGGGGTACCATAGAAGGGGGGGGGGCTATACCTATATACTGAAAATGAGTTATTTGTTTGAAATCTGCTCTTTGGTACATGTATTAATCAAACATTTTTGTTGAGGAAGGGTGCTTTTTCCAAAACTGTGAAATGTGTGGACCTAGGGTCAAGGGTTGAAGTGTGGTAGGGGCCCTACTGATTATTGCTGAATATTACTGATTATTAGTTGAGATGCATTCTTTGTTCCCGGGGCCGCTACCATACCTATGGGTATCAAGTAACCAAACTAAGCAATTGCTAAGTTTATATTCATGATGAGCAATGGTGCCTCTTTCAAAATTGTGAATGCCATAGCATCTAGCATGTGTCAATTTAGAAAGAAGGTTACAGTGACCTACTTTTAAAGTTTCAAAGGTAATATCTACATTTTTTTAAGTAATAATTGACTTAAAATCATCAAATTTTATCAGTTTAGGTATTTGAGATTCTTGGGGTATCTTTACCAAAAAGTATGTCACTTGACATACTTTTGGAATGTTGTGTGTATATCTGAATGCAGTTCGGGTTTTCAGAGTGTTGTAATCAAAATGTTGGTCATTATGACCTTCTTTTGGAATTCCAGGGTGTTATCTATACATATACATGTAGGATACAACAACAAAAAAGGATTTTGTAAAAATATCGTCTTTATTCCTTGTTTAAAAACTGGAGCAGTGTTGATGACTTCCTATTTTAATCATCTGTTAACTTGAAATAAGTATTTTAAACAAAGCTTAGAAATCATTCAATCGTATATTTTTTGTCTCATTTTAGAAGAGGAGAACCCTTCGTCAGACGTTACAGAGACAGCGCGAGGAACAGGAGCGCCTGGCTAAATTGGCTACAAAGAAGCCCACTGTGGAGGGCAATGGCAGTGCCCTGGGTGGTGTGGCGACAGGGCAGGGGAACGGCTTCAGCTTCCCTGTAGACCAGACTCCCCCCCGGCCCGGACACAGGCTGTCCTACACAGAGGCCACCGGGGGTCTGATGTACTCACCCCCCTCCTACAGAACCGTCACCCACTCAGCCACCATCAACAACCCAGTATTCACAGACAAAAGTGCTGAAGATAACTATGTCTAGATAATGAACTTACAATTTCATTTATTTATATCTTGTTGACATTAGATGAATATATAGGGATAAATGTTGTACTTCTAATTATAACCCAGTCAGTCCTTGTAAAAGGAGGCTTAAATTCAGAGTTTCCAATTGAGATAGGTATTTACTAATAGATGGGGTCTTAATTAACCTATTAAAGATATTTTATTTAATCTTTTTTTACCATTTTAACAGATGATTTAATGAGGACAGGTATGAAGTTGTATTTATTCTCTTTATGAATTGTTGTTTTTGGTATTTTAACTATTTTGTTGATGTTGTTGTTTGTTATTCTTTTCATTTTGTACATATGAGATTACTTTATAATTATAATACATGTTATATAAAAAGTATTTAATTGGTAAGAATTTGATTAGATGTACATATACAGTCCCTGAAATGTTCTACTTTCCCATTTTTCCGTTCGCTCACCGTTCATGCAGTGTGCGTTCTCCGTTCGCTTTCTGTTCACAGTTTTGCGTTCACCGTGCGCTCGCGTTCACCATTCACAAAACACTCACCGTTCACTCTTTGTTCCGTTTACTTTGCATTCAGCGTTCACTTATCGTTCAGTCTTTATTTTCATTCGGAACTCTGAAGTGAAAGGACTTATCTTTTTGATGGTAAGGATTTACATGTTTTTAATTTAATAACTAATATATTGTGGTTGAAGAATAATTATTTCATGGCAAGAATTATCTACGATATATTTATATTTTTTTTTTTATAAATTAGGTGTTTTGATATTAGTTAAATTAATCTGGAAAACACATGTTGTTATAAGCACTTTTAAGTGCCCACATATATGTAGAATAATCCTTAAACATTTTAAATTTAAATATTAAGCCAGTTTAGTACAAATACTTCAAGCACGGCAACATTTTGTTGTTTGTAAAAGACAACAAATCGTTAATTGATGAATAATAATCCAAGTTTATTAATTTACCAATATTGGAGCACATATACAGAAAAAAAATGATTTCTAACTCGTATTTATCAATGATGCACAAAAACATATTAGAACTAGTTCTGAGAATTATAAACAGAATGGCGATATTCAGTTAATTAGATATCTTTAGAGCGACTTAAATTGATAGTGTGTTTTTAAAAAAATCAATTGTTTAAAATTCAGTACATTATTATAATTTTTCTTTCTAATTTACATATATAAAGTCTATAATTAAAGAGGGAAATTTCATTCCTTCACTGTAACTAAATATATGTTTGCAATTCAGTATGATTACATGTAAGAGCCCTCCCCCCCGGCATCTTTTCCCCTAAATTGAATACTTAGTTAGTATTTTAATTATATTTGAATTACCATTTAATGTGTATCGTAACACAAAAATTTCAGTCTTAATACAAACATCAAAAGAGTCGGGAAACAATTGTAGTTCAAAACGTGCCGACAATACTAGTGGTATTTTCAATTGGCAGGGAGTATCTTCAAAATCAATTACATACTTAATCCTTCCGAGTATATATTCCCCATAATTTTTATTAATTTTTTTTTCAGTTATGTAGAAATCCGATTTGGAAATGAAAGGTAAAAATGTTGAAACTTCTTGGAAATACTAAGTAACTCTTTGCCTTCGGTGTAACGAGATCTTCACACCTGCACTGTATCGAATGATTTTGATTGACAGGACAAGCATGTGGTCTTTGTGTGAACTTGAAAAAGGGAAAAAAAGCCAATGATGACTACCAAATGGATTTGTTTCACCGCCCGGAATATTTAGAAAAAATAATCAGAATTTTTATATGATACAACAGATATCTGAGAAAGGAGGGGGCTAAAATCTCTCTCTCTCTCTCTCTCCCCACACACATTCATATGTTCAAAAAAACCTTGGCAGCATATTACTTAATTTAATTCTGAAAATATAACCTATTAAAAATTGAATATGAATGCCTCTTTTCCTCATCTTGTAATATCTGCAAGTATAAACACGGCCGGGAAATGTCTACAGATACATGTAGAAGTTTGCTAAAAAAATCATTTTAAAGAATGAAAATGATACATAATAACAATATTATTGCATTAGAATTTTAAAATACAAGTTTGTTTATACAATAAATCAGCAGACCTTTGTAATATTTTTTCATTATTTTACACAGAATCGCATTTGTATCGTTGTAACAACCGTGGTAATTAATTCATTCTATAAGTTTAGCTTTCTCTTTTAAAATCCACATTATTTTATTAGTTAAAAGAGCATATTTATTTTATCAGTAGATTAATTTTATTTGTTATAGACTGTACAGTAACAATTAAACATATTTTACGGCAATATAAATTGTGTTATTTAAATGCTGTAAGATACTTAAATTAATAATTTTACTCAATGTAATTTTTGTACATCTATTTTAATTATTTTTTTTTTTTTATATTTATCAATTTATTGTTTATCTATATTTTAATACCTGATAGAATAGAATAATTTTAATCCAAGGAAAAGATGGGAGGCATTCCGAATAAATCATTCATCTTGCGTTCACTGTTCATTCACTGTTCACTTTGCGCTCGCGTTTGTGCTACATTCGCGTTCTGCGTTCACTCATTGTTCACCATTCACACATCTTTCACTAAGTTGCTTTCAGCGTTTGAACATCGTTCACTCACTGTTCGTTCACCCTTGGTTCACCGTTCAGGTGGGAAAGTAGAATGTTTCAGGGACTGTATATCTGAAGAAAAAAAATGCTGTTTATTATTTCTCATAGATCAAATTAATTTGATTACTTTCTTGTAAGTTCACCAGTACTAAAAGTTTGAGTTAGCTTTTCTGATCAAAGTTTATCCATCCTTTCATCTGTCCATTCACTTTTCACATTTTCATTCAGGTCACAATAAAAATAGTCTCAATAATAGCACACTAGTATAGTCAGGCATGTTTAGGCATATTGATATGGAGGTATTTTAGGGCAAGTAATGATCCATGTTTTTTCATGACCCCTGGAGGGTAGGATGGGACCAAACTGGGTGATGAAATTTATAGGAAAAAAATTATAAATATATTTTCATCAAAAAATAAAGGGCATGATTAGTCGTATTTATATGGAAACAACCTACATGTAAGTATAAGTGTAGATTCGTGTTTCTTCAAATGATTACCCTTTGGAATGGGGCAAAGTTTTCCGTGCTATGTATGTGAGATTTTAAAAATTTTCCTCTGTAACTTCCAAAAAAAATTTGAATAAATCTATAAATTACTTCCTCCCAGAAGTGAAACACCCTGAAAGCGGAGTACCAGTAGATTGATTCTTTTCCCTCGCATCCCATGACACAGCTAATGCAGGCATTTTTATTGTTAAAGGATAATGAAATGAGATCATGATACACATCTCAGAAACATAGCTGTATGGTAATCAGGTGCCCTTTACACTTACGGGTGATGGATTTTACTCAGTACATGTATGGCCATATTAGTTTAACTAGTGATTGTCTTAATTTGTTATATTCATGCAGAGCTTCCTTATTACTGTATATTTTTAACACGATAATTGTCAATTTTTATGCTTCCAGATAAACTACATGTACTTTTGATTAATCCTGAATTACATATTAGATGTATTCTGTTACAGTACAAATACAATACATACTAGTAATTGTATTTAAACCAGAACTGTCAATCAAATTTCAATTTCAAGGTTATATTATATGTTTGTTTTTTTAAAATAATTTTAGGACAGGTTCTTATTAATTGTTTTATTTTGATTTTTTATTTTGTCTTTATACATCTTTTAAATAAATTGTGCAATATTTGTCTTGTCAGGAATTCAAGTTGTCTGGGCATCCTTTAAATTCCCTTCGCCAGTTATAAATCATTACCAGGTACCTTAAAGTAATGACTGTTCAGTGTGACTGTGACTGTTAATGTAGTACATAGCAATAACATGAGTCTATAGACGCCAACAGAATTGTAATTATATCACTTAAAAATTTACATTTTGATGATGTATTTTTGCCTATAATTTTTCAATTCTAAAATATGAAATATGAATAATGATTCCCACCTTCACCCATAATAAGCTAAGCATAAGTCTTCAAATGATCTCTCTTTAAATCATGAGGGCAAGTCCTGCAGTTAAATTTGAATGGGGTTTCAGGATGGTAACACCCCCAACACCCCCAAACAAGAGACCCATGGACCTTATAAATGTAGGTCACCTGAGTATCATGTAACAACTTTCCAACAATTGAATTTGGTTTGTTTTTTAAACCAGAGGCCATGAAATTCTCATTTTTTGAAAGAGGCATCGATCATTGCTTATCATAACTATACATGCACTTAGCTTGCTTACTATATACAATACAATAATTTTTATAGCGCATTAGAATAAAGACACTCAAGTGCATTTCACATTGAAATATACATAATTAAGCATACAAATTGAGTACAAACTACTTAATTTTAAAAAATACATATTTGTGCATAAAAAATAGGAATATCGAAAAGACTTTATGTGTACCAAAAGACCATAAAATATCATGTATTTATTAGCTGCAGATCTATAGCTCTCCAATAAAAAATATATTGACCGACCGGAGAGCTACATGTGCAGTGCTACCCATTGTAAAAACTGGATATTTATTGTCATTTTTTCAATGGGGGGCACTGTAGCTCTCCGGTCTATCAATATACTGTACATATTGTTTGTATCTCAAATAAAAAATGAAATCATGTACTGTACATGTCCCGCTGTAGATTCGAACCCGCGACGTAAAGATGAACACCTCACTCCGCGAGTCTAAAAATGGTTTTAGAGGATCAAGTAAATAAGGGAAAAACGAATGTAATTGATTAATGCTGGAAAGCATGGCTACATGTAAAGGTTCCATAAATTAGATTCAACTGCATACAGCATAGGCTTTGAGGAAGGCAGCTGAAAATATGATAACTGCAAGAAATTGGGAATCGTAACGGTGACATGCAGAATATGTTTAATAGTTTCTTGGGTGTGCCAGAGCATCAAAGATTGTTGGAAACGTGGGATAAATAATTAAAGCCCTATATGCTTAAATGATCCAACAAACTTGACAGCGATATATGAATGTCGACAGGCGCGGATTCAGGAAGTTTTTCCCAGGGATCATGAGGGGTCCACATCAAAAATATTTGTACGAGCAAAAAAGTAATAAACTTTTTCAGTCCTAAAATGTGAGAGAACACTTTCATAAGTCTATACTCTGTTTTTGTAGTAGGACCCCCCCCCCCCCCCCCCCCCCCCCCCCCGGGTTATGATCAGATGTTTATTTGGCCAGTACATCCTCTGAAGAGGTTTTTGTTCGTTTTGTTAGCTCACCTGAGCCGAAGGCTCAAGTGAGCTTTTCTGATCACATTTTGTCCGGCGTCCGTCTGTCCGTCTGTCTGTCTGTCTGTCCGTAAACTTTTCACATTTTCGACTTCTTCTCAAGAACCGCTGGGCCACTTTCAACCAAACTTGCCACAAAGCATCCTTGGGTAAAGGGGATTCAAGTTTGTTCAAATGAAGGGCCACGCCCTTTTCCAAGGGGAGATAATTATGAATTAGAGAAAAATTAATGGCATTTTTAAAAAATATTCTTCTCAAGAGCCACTGGGCCAGGAAAGATGAAACTCATGTGGAATCATCCTCAGGTAGTGTAGAT